GAAATGCATCTGTTCTCGAAATAAAAGAAAACAGGGAAACTAGGATAACTGGAAGGGGACTCCGGGGGCTGCGAACGCCGGCAGATCTACCTTGGGTCTCCTGTGGACTGAAGGCAGCAACCTAACTCTGATTAGTGCGGTCCAGTACTAGAATCTGCACAGAAAGTGCAGAGTGCAGTATCAGTACAACCGACCCCATGTACTAGTAAGTGCCGAGCCTAACCTCGGCGAAGTAGTAACGAGCCTAGGACACGACAATAACATGAACCTATGCAGTTAAATCATATACGAGGAAATAACAAAAATTGGAAACTAAACATATAATAACGGGAAGGGGGAAAACATGCTGAGGGGAGTATCAGATCCGGAAAATAGTGTAGTAAGGAAACGCAGTAAATAACATGTTTTGCACCAACGAAAGTAATGACATAGCAAACAAGTACACAACATCACCCTTCATGCTTTTACTCTCGTCCTTACCATAAGAATCAATAGAAACGGTACGGCATCACCCTTCGTGCATTAACTCTCTCATAACATGGAACGGCATTACCCTTCGTGCATTATCACTCTTAGAATACGGCACGGCATCACTCTTTGTGCATTATCACTCACTCACAATAAATTGCACGGCATCACCCTTCATGCTTTACACTCTTCCTCACCCAAATAACAGAACAATAACAACCCGGCATGGGAATTATCAATAACCAACCTCGTTTCAATATTTGACTTCACAATATAAATTTCAACTAGATTCAATACTCAACCAATGTCCTATTCCAGGAAAAACGTGATAAGATTTGTTCAACATGAAGAATAACCAGTTTAAGCATGAACAGTACGAATAAAGAATACCACAGATAGACTCACTCACATGCTATGACCCGAAAACAATGTATAGGTACTCGTCACCTCACCTATACATCGTACTCAACAACCAAACACATAGCAAATAGGGCAACAACAACCTAAGGTCAGCAACAACACTTACCTCGATTCCACGGCCGAACTCAAGCCTCAATTATCGTTTTTCCTCTAGATTCCACCTCCAACCACTCGTATCTAATCATAATTAACTTAATATAATCAATTATTGCTAAAGAAATCAATTCCAATGCACAATTACAAGTTTACCAATATTTTCTACAAAAAGTCAAAAACTGACCCCGGGCCCGCTTGGTCAAAACTCGAGGTTCGAACCAATACTCATTCACCCGTTCACCCTCGAGTCCAAATATGTAATTAGTTTCGAAATCCGATCCCAAATCGAGGACTAAATTCCAATTATACAAAAATCCCTAATTCTACCCAAACCCCCAATTTCTACCATGAAAACCCTAGATTTTAGGTTGAAAATTGATGAAATACAATGGGTAATTGGAAGAAAGTAGCTTAGAATCATTTAACAACACTTTGGGGAAGAATTTGTCTCTTGAAAATCGCTTCTAAGCCTTCTTGTTTTTGAAAATATGAAATAATGGCCAATTTCCGTTTCTGCTTCTGTTTTTAAAACACTGGACAGGTCTTTATCGCGTTCGCGATGCATTGCGGCCAGAAGGGCCTTCGCGTTCGCGAAGAGATGCTCGCGTTCGCGATGGTGTGTCCCCCCCTGACAATCCCGTTCGCGGTCCTGGGACCGTGTTCGAGAAGAGCAACTCAAAGATTCCCTAGCCCGCCTCCATTTTACTCTACGCGTTCGCGTGATGCCGGTCGTGTTTGCGAAGAGCAGCCCCCCAGTACTCCGCGTTCGCAACCACGGCTACGCGTTCGCGAAGAAAAATTCCCCTCCCCTGTCCAGGTTACACTTCGCATTCGCAAGAGTGTCTTCGCGAACGCGAAGAAGAAAAGCCAGAAACACTGACTGCAGCAAATCACACAAGATTTCTATGTATAAAACATCCCGTAGCCTATCTTAAACTCACCTGAGCCCTCGGGCTCCAAACCAAACATGCACACAAATCTAAAAAAATCATGCGGACTTTCTCGCGTGATCAAAATGCCAATAACACCTAAATCTATGAATTCAGCATCAAATTGCATGTCAAGAAAGTTCAAAAGTTCTATTTTCTCAACCAATGGTCCGAATCACGTCAAATCAGTCCTGTTTCTCACCAAATTTAACAGATAAGATATAAATATCATAACGGACCTTTATCGGGCTCTGGAACCACAATACTGACCCGGTATCAACAAAATCAATTACTAAACAAATTCTTAAAATCTTTATATTTCCAGTTTAATAATTTTCATCAAAAATTTATTTCTCGGGCTAGGGACCTCGGAATTCGATTCCAGGCATACGCTCAAGTCCCATATTTTACTACGGATCCATCGGGACCATGAAAACATAGGTTCGGATCTGTTTACTTAAAATGTTAACCGAAGTCAACTAAATCAACTTTTAAAGGCAAAACGTAATATTTTCTCAAATTTTCACACAAAGGCTTTCCGAAAATGCGCCCGGACTGCGCACGCAAATCGAAGAAAAAGAAAATGAGGTTTTGAAGGTCTCGAAACCCCAAATTGGGTTCTAAGACACGAGATGACCTTTCGGGTCATCACAATATCACCCCAAAAGTACATGCTATAACATTCCCAACTTGTCGACATTCGACGAAACTTATTTTCTTCAATTTGTTTAGCTTCTAAGTCTTTCAAGCCTCTTGATACTTGTTATCCGTGATCTTAAAGATTTGTAACCTCCAAGATAACATGATTAATTTACTTTATGTACTTTCAGTGTCAATCTCATTTCTGAGCTTATATCAATTGACTTACGGCGTACTCTTACGTGCAAAAACATGGGGTGCAACACTCAGTACTGCCCCAAATAAAGTCTCTTTGAATTTTATTAATAACCTATTGAGGGTAGAAGAAACAACGGTAGTTCTACCAGCTATAGTCAGACAATTTGTTTTCCACTTTGATAGTCTGGAACGCATGTTGTCAATAATGAACTGGAAGTAAGTAGCCTTTGGCTTGTGACGAATAATTGGAAATCCCAAATATTTTTCAAAGTTGTTATTGCTTTTGATATTAAGCAGAGTGGAAATATAAGTGGATGTGTCTTTGAGCTTATTTAGGTGGCTCTACATTTTCACTAATGGGTTACAAAAACCCATTATTTTTTACCAAGATATATAAATATAATAGGAAATATATTGAATATTCATAAATATTTAATTTTGAACTATTATTAAATTTTAATTTCGAATTGCTGTAAAAACCTATAAAACATCAAATTCTAAATCCATCGTTAAAAAACTAGCACAGGATAAGAACACGCCTACAATAGTTGACCAAATAGGCAAATACAATTCCACTATAGAGGGTAATTTTTAAAACTCATCTATATCGTTGCATGTGGATCAAGTTACAATTTAATGAGAATATTATGTGCTGTGTTCTCGTAGATTAACCTAATTAATTATATGTAAAAATAGCACGGTATAGCCAGTTTTCGGACTGGTCAATCAAAAATAGCCAGTGTTTACCAAGTCAATAAAAAATAGCCACCATTTTGCTGCAATAGAGACCGGTCCAGCATAATATACTGGAGTTCGGTGCACTTGTGTATGAACTCCAGCATATTATACTGGACCGGTATACTTTGCTGGCTCCAGTATAATATACTGGAGACTGGAGCACTGGTGCTCCTAACTCCAGTATATTATACTGGACCAATATACTTGCTGGAACTCCAGTATATTATGCTGGAGTTCTAGTGTATTTATGCTGGAACTACATCATATTATGCTGGAGTTCCAGCATACTATCTTGGAACTCCAGTATAATATGCTGGAGTTCAAGTATACTTATGCTGGAACTCCAGCATAATATACTGGAGTATATTCCGGGTTTTGAACAGTATTTTCGCTCAGATTTATCTTTATATAAAAAGTGGCAAAATTTCGATTACTTTTAAAATTGGGCTATTTTTGAACGACCAGTTGTAAATCTGGCTATTTTTAAATTTCTCCCTAATTATACGGAAGCTCATGTTATGTTTTGTTTTTAATTTTTTTAAATACATACAAAGAGTAGGAAACCTAGTCAATTTTTTTTTTTTATCACCATTAATTTGAAAGTTCATGAGCTACTAAGATTCCTCTCATGTTTATGTTTGGATCCAAAGAGTTGTTATAATTTTCTTAAAATAAGTGCTAACATTTTTAAAAGTGCCATAATCATTTAAGATATCACTTAGCTGTCAGTTTTGAATATTAGAGGTTTATCAAATTTTATTTGTTTTAAATATTTAACGTGTAAGAAAACCAAGAAGTCACCTAAAGCTTTTTTCCATCATAATCAACTATACCGTTTCAATTAAAAGAGAATACATTAATTAAGTGAAATATTTAAGAAAAGATAAAGGGTATTTGACGTACAGCCTCATATATATACTCTCCTTATTGATAAACAAGAACTAAACATCAAAAATAAAGCAGAAGGATGAATTACCAATAGCAAATACAAAGTAAAAAAAAAAAAATTACCCATCCCCACATGCAGGATTCTTCAAATGAACAACTTCAAAATTTGTACTCCTCCCGTCTCAATTTACGTGAAGTATTTAAACAATAAAGGAAAATTTTTTAAACTCGTGACCTAAACAAATCATTGAAATTTATGTGGCTAAAAATCATCGCACTAAGGATAAAAAGAAAATTTTAAAATTGAACTATTACTTAATATAAAAATATATTATTCTTTTTGGAACTGATTAAAAAGCAAATAGTATCATATAAATTACGACAGAGGGAGTAATACAGTCAAACCTTTCTATAACAACTGCATTTGTTCCGATATTTTTTTAGTGCTATAGTAAAATGTTGTTATAGAGGACATATATTATAACAACAACAACAACAACAAACCCAGTAATTTCCCACAAGTGAAGTCTGGGGAGGGTAAGATGTACGCAACCTTACCCCTACTCTAAAATGACAGAGAGACTATTTCCGATACTTCTGCTGGAGAACGAATTAAAGATCAGCTCCGGAAAAATTAAATTTTTATAGTAAATGATTGTTATATAAGAATATTGTTACAGAAAGGTCGGACTGTATTATTTTAACCAGTTTCACCCTTAGGAGGCACTGGTTTGGCTGGAGCTCTAGGAACATATGCTTTACCTTCAGGGTTTACAGGTGGCACATAATATTGTTCATTTCCTGCAGCTGGTTCATCATTATTATTTTCTGGTTGATCATATATTATATTGTTTCTTGGATCTCCGGGTGGGAATATTGCAAAATCTTGTTGTTGTTCCTGTGCATTATTTCCTTGTTCACCTGTAATTGGTGCTATTGGTGCATTTCCTGCTTCATCTATTATTATCAGTCCACCATTGTCCTGCTCGTTTTCTGCTACATCTTTTGCTGGCCCTTGGTCATTTCCTAGTTCTTAACAAAATGAACACGAGTTTATGTTCATTGTACTCAAGGTGTATAAAAATATTTATACAACGATTAAGGACTCGTTTGGCCATAAAAAATTATTTTTTTCCTTTTTTTTCACAATCAGTGTTTGACCATAAAAATTTTAAATTTCACTCGAAGTTGAATTTTATAATTTTTTCAAGAATTTGAAAAACTCCAAAAAAAACTATTTTTTAAAATTTTCACATCAAATCACTTACAAATATTCGGAAAGGGCTCCAAATTGTATTCATTCCCAAAAATATCTCTAATTTTCAAATACCATTTTCACTTCAATTTTTTTTCCACTTTTTTCTGAAATTTCACAATTCTTATGTGAAAACGCCGACTAAATCATTTGTTAATTAAGAAGAATTTAAGTTCTATATACATTAACGCGGGATGTAAAAAGAAAGGTTGCTTAAAAGTTAATTACACATATTTCCATTTAATAAGAAGCATTTAATTTACAGTTAGATCTTTCTATAACAACATCCATATATAACAACACTTCACTATAAAAGCTAAGCTTTTTCGGAACCAATTTTTATGTTATGTTAGTATAATATATGTTCTCTATAACAGCAATTCGCCGTAACATCCAAAAACATTCGGAACAAATGAGGTTATTATAGAGTAGTTTGACCGTATAACTTGGAACAATATATATATATATATATATATATAACATATTAAATCACATTGCTTGAGCAAAATTTTATTATATTATTAGTGTATATAACTTAAATCATTGAGTAATTACACGTAAAACTCTTGCTAACTATTACTCCAACCGATAATTTGGTCAAAATAATGGAAGCTAACATGTTATCACATATAAAAGTTCACTAATAGTGTGAAAAAATTATTGCACTGAACTTAAAATCCATTTAACATCTACCCCGAATCACTTCCCATACCCTTACCCCTCCCCCCCCCCCCACCCCCTCCCCACCCCACCCACCCAAAAAAAAAGGGAGTTTCTAACATGAAAATTAAGAAGAAGAAAAAAGGCAAAGTTTTCCAGAAAATATAGTTTTCAACTCTTACCTTTAGAAGATTTTCCACATGAAACGAGGTATACGAACAGATCTTGAATCTTGTTCTTCGTATCTGCAATGAAATTAGCCATTTTTCTTTATTTTCTTGGTATTGTTTCCCCATCTGCTCAACTGTGTTTTATTGGAGATTAAATGTTGAAATTTCCACTAATTACTTGTTATTAAAATAGAGCTTGAGACCCATGTGAGAAATTTTAAATTTCAAGACGTGATAGCTAGTTGTTGTATAAATATTCTCATTATTACATCTCTCTTTCCAATAAGACAGTTGGCTATTATTTTTCTTAAATTTTCACTTTCCAAACAGGCCCTTAAATCATTTTTCAACTCGATTGGAAATTATTCATGTGAACTTAGATATTGTTGTCTGCAAAGGAAAACAACTTAGAAATATTACTTGCATTCACGGAAATAGTAGTTTACAAGGGAAAATTTTATTTATTTATTTATTTATTTATTTATCAAGAAACAACCTGCAAGAGTTGCATAAATTTGTATAGCAAATATTATAACCATTTATATCAAAATTGTTCCGATTTTTTCTGATCGACAGTCAAAATAGTGATTTTATATGATTTTATAACGAAAAAGGCTAAAGTTTTACTTCTTTGGCCTACCCTATTTTATGGTAAAAATTGCATGTGCGCTCTATTTGGTCGCCCCCTTTTAATCTATATCCGTTTTGTTTTTCCGCTTGCATTCGTACCCATTTTTTGTTAAAAAAATTTTAAAAAGACGATTTTGCCCTTCTTTAATAAAAGACTATTGACAAACTGCAGGAAAAAAACATAAGCATGTTTAGGCTGAAGTTTTAGCAAATGAACTAAAAAACTTTAGCTTGTTTAGACTGAAGTTTCGGATAAAACTCAGGACAAAACTGTAGACTGCGTTACAAAACTTTTGTTTTGGTATGAAGTTTTAGCAAATGAACTAAATAACTTCATCATGAATTAGCAAAAACTCTTTAGAAAATTACATACTGCAAGACAAAAACTTAAGCATGTCTAGTCAGAAGTTTTAGCAACTGAACTAAAAAACTTAAGCATGTTTAGTCTGAAGTTTTAGCAAATGAACTAAATAACTTCAGCGTGTTTTGTCTGAAGTTTTAGCAAATGAACTAAATAACTTCAGCATGCATTAGCAAAAACTCATTAGAAAATTACATACTGCAAGAAAAAAACTTAAGCACGTTTAGTCTGAAGTTTTAGCAAATGAACTAAAAAACTTAAGCATGTTTTGTCTAAAGTTTTAGCAAATGAACTAAATAACTTAGGCATGTTTAGTCTGAAGTATTAGCAAATGAACTAAAAAAGTCAAGCATGTTTAGTCTGAAGTTTTAGCTAATGAACTAAGTAACTTAAGCATGTTTTGTCTGAAGGTTTACCAAATGAACTAACTAACTTCAGCATGTATTAGCAAAAACTCATTAGAAAATTACATACTGCAAGACAAAAACTTAAGCATGTTTAGTCTGAAGTTTTAGCAAATGAACTAAAAAAACTTAAGCATGTTTAGTCTAAAGTTTTAGCAAATGAACTAAATAACTTAAGCATGTTTAGTCTGAAGTTTTTGCAAATGAACTAAATAACTTCAGCATGTTTTATCTGAAGTTTTAGCAAATGAACTAGATAACTTCAGTATACATTAGCAAAAACTCATTAGAAAATTACATACTGCAAGAAAAACTTAAGCATGTTTAGTCTGAAGTTTTAGCAAATGAACTAAAAAACTTAAGCATATTTTGTCTAAAGTTTTAGCAAATAAACTAAATAACTAAGGCATGTTTAGTCTGAAATTTTAGCAAATGAACTAAAAAACTGAGGCATGTTTAGTTTGAAGTTTTAGCAAATGAACTAAAAAAACTTAAGCATGTTTAGTCTAAAATTTTAGTAAATGAACAAAAAAACTTCAGCATGTTTAGACTGAAGTTTCGGATAAAACTCATGACAAAACTGTAGACTGAAAGATACATAACTTCACCATGCATTAGCATGAAGTTTTAGCTTCGATGTGAAGCAACTTCATGCTATATTAGCTTGAAGTTTTAGCTTCAACGTGAAACAACTTCATGCAAATGTGAGTCTGAAGATGAATCTAGATAAATTTCTAATTTTTCGATAAAGTTGCTGATAGGAGGGGAGGAGATCTTTTTTCAATAATGACGTTACAGATCACGCGATTAATGCGTGATGCAGGTTTTGATATCTTTTGTCAGGGGTGTTATTGTCATATTATTACAGATTTTTTGTCAATTGGCTACCAAATCAATAATTTTTAAAAATAGGGTACATGTTAAAAGGTGGCACAAATATAAGGTACGTGTAACGACCCGGCCGGTTATTTTTAGAATTTACACCCCGATCCCCTATTTACTGTTTTCCCGTGTTTATTTCTGCTATTTTGAATTTGTCGGGATGATTTCGGATGGTGGACGGGAAGTTTTGGAATGGTTTGAAGCTGCTGATATTTGTCATAACCGCACCTGCGGTTTGGTTTCCGCAGGTGCGGAGCCGCAGAAGCGGTGGATAAACCGCAGAAGCGGAAATAGGGAAGATAGGCAGGGACCGCAGAAGCGGTAGTAATTCCGCAGGAGTGGTACCGCATCTGCGGATGGGTAGTCACAGATGCGGAAAATGAGTTTAAGTGAGAAGTCGCATATGCGACCCTTGTTCTGCAAAAGCGGGACAACAGAACTGCAACTTCGAATGGTGTATGTGCCTTCGCTGGAGACACGAATTCGACCTCAATTGGCGCGGGCGTCTTTGCAGATGGTGGCGCTTCAAACTCCAGCGGTATGGACATAATTACCTCGGCATCCCAAGAGGGCTGAATCTGGACTATGATCGGATTAAGGGTGACTATTGGTTGCTTTGGATCATCACCTTCTGTGATCAAACCGATCGATTCCTTGGGGTCCCAATCATCCTCTATTTTAATCATGTGAACGCCTCCACCCTTCTGATCTGGCAGATGGTTATTGCGGACATTCGGAGTAGGCTCTTTTGCCACAATAATCTTGGTATCAATTAAAGTCTGGATCTTATCTTTCAGATAGCGGCATTCATCAATGGTGTGTCCTTTCATGCCGGAATGGTATGCACAGGACTTATTTGGATTAACCCACTGAGAAGGGTTTTCAGGAGCAGCAGGGATGGGGGTGACGTAACCAGCAGTCTTGAGTCTTTCATACAACTAGTCGATAGGTTCAGCAATGGCTGTGTACTGTTTTAGGGGTCTTCGATCAAGGTTTGGTCGAGGTCTAGGAAAATTTTGGCGTGGAGGAGGGGATTGGTAGTGGGATGGTTGAGTGTTGTAGGCTTGGTAAACATGTGCTGGTTGGGAGTATTTGGGTGAAGTGGGATGATATGCGGGAGATAATTGATAAGTGAGTGGTGGAGTTTGGTAAAAGGGTGATGGTGCTTGGTAGTTTGGGGTAGGCTGATATGTGATTGGAGGCATTGGGTATGTTTGGTATTTGACGGGAGATTTGGTTCTCTATGCCACCATTACGGCTCCTACGTCCCTTTTCTTGGACACACCGCTTGACTGTAAGGCCTTGTTTGTAGCTTTCAAGGCTTCAAAATTCATAACCATACCGCTTTTGATGCCTTCTTCGATTCTTTCTCCCAGCTTGATAATGTCAGAAAATTTGTGGCCTTCGATCATCATCAGCCTCTCATAATACTGTGGGTCTTGGGTCCGAACGAAGAATTTGTTCATTTGCTCTTCTTCCAAAGCAAGCCTAACCTTAGCAGCTTCTGACCTCCATCGAGTAGCATACTCACGGAATGTTTCTGTGGGTTTCTTCTTTAAATTTTGAATATAGAACATATCTGGTGCATTCACTATGTTGAACATGAATCTATCCATAAAATCGGACGCCATGCTTACCTAGTTGGACCACTTCTTTGGATCTTGGCTGATGTACCAAGATAAGGCATCTCCCTTCAAGCTCCTCGTGAAAAGCTTCATGCGGATTTTCTCATCTTTTCCTACTCCAACCAATTTGTCACAGTACGTTCTCAAATGGACCCTTGGATCCCCTGTACCACCGAACATTTCGAACTTAGGAGGTTTGTACCCCTCGGGCAGTTCGACATCGGGCTGTATGGAAAGATCTTCGTAGTTCAGCCCTTCAATTCCCTTACTTCCTTCAACGCCTTGAATTCTGCTAGTCAACCTTTTAAGCTCTTCGGCCAGGTTTCTGATGAGCAAGTGCTTATCGTCAGACTCGGGTGTGCTTGAAATGGGCTGGGTGGAGTGCGACATGGTCTCCACGTAGATGGGGGTATTATGTTGGCAGTGGTCATTTGTGGAGTTCTGGAGTTCTGGGATGAGCAGTGGGGTGTTATTTGAGGTATGGCAGGTAGTGGTGAGGAATGGGATGGTTTTGTTGCTTTAGGATATTTTGTGAAGGTAAAGGATTCTGAGTATTTGGGAAAGTAACCTCTGGAGTAGTGAGGGAAAATGACAGATTTTCCAGATTCCGGACTTGATCAAGTTCTTCTTGAAACTTCAACAGCTTTTGTTCTAGTTGGGATGCATTTTCCTTGGGGACCAGAGTACCGTGACCATGAGTGACCTCTACCCGTTCAGTTGAGTTCTCCTTTCTGGCGTTGTTTGAATCTTCCATTTTCCCTTTGTTCTTGTGCTTGACAGGACTGAGAGGAGGAGTAGGTGGAGGGCCCCTGGATCTCGTAAAATATGATGATGTTGCCAGAGTTCACGAACTAACCTTTGGGGAGGGGAATAAACAAAAGTAAAAACAAAGGGGTAACAAGTCAGTGAGGATTATAAAAAAAATGTTACAATATTTAAACACATAGTGCGGAAAGATAAAGCGTTTCCTAATTTTGGGGAACCTCTTTGTGCCCGAGATAGGCCTAGCAACAAGTTAATTTGGAGAACTTAGAATGCTAAATGCCTCATTCTATTGACAAAAGTAGACGAATCCCAAAACGACACTATAACAGGAAATAAAAATGTCACCAGTGGCCATAGGGCTTATTACATTTTATAAAGTAGAAATGAAAACTCCTATTTATTTGGTCGCAGAAGGACCTTCCCCAGACTCGGCATCTTTGGCTCCATCGAACAGCTTCACCAGCTCGCGAAGTCCCAGCAATAAGTAGGCTCTGGCTAGGTGCCCGCCCTCGTTTCCTTC